GAAGGAGCCACCGGCCAATGTGGTCATCACCAGCTCCGATCCGCTGCCCAAGCCTGCCACAGTCGCTGGCGTCCAGCCGACGCTCAGTGTGACGATCCCGGCACAGCATATCAAGCCCAGTCTGGTGCAGAACACAGAACAGCAACCACAGCAACAGCCACAGCCAGCAACAACGTTCGGTGCTCTGCCAGCGACTGTCCTAACAGCTGCTGAGACACCATCATCCAGCGGAGTCTTCAATTTCAGGTTTGGCACCAGCCAGGCGGAGAGTCCGTTCTCCTTCAAGACGCTGGTGGCCAGGGCCGCGGCCGAAAAGCAAAAGGAGCAGGAAGCCGAAAAAGCCCAGACCCTACTCAACGAGAGTGCCAAGAGTACCACGAGTGAACCGAACAAGAGTGCGGGCGCCGCAGATGCCTCCCTGGAACAGGACTACGATCCGCGACCGGACTTCCAGCCGATCATAGAGTTACCCGATGAGATTGAAGTGCGCACCGGCGAGGAGGACGAGGAGGTCAAGTTCTGCTTCCGTGCAAAGCTCTTCCGCCTGGTGTCGCTAGAGTGGAAGGAGCGAGGCATTGGCAACATTAAGATCCTCAAGAACCCGGCCACCGGCGTCTCGCGCATCCTCATGCGACGCGAGCAGACGTACAAGGTCTGTGCCAATCACAAAATCAATCGCGATATTTCCTTGACCACACCCCAAGAGGACACGGAGCATAAGTCATTCATTTGGGCGGCCAACGACTTTGCCGATGAGGTAATGGTTCCCGAGATGTTCCTCGTGCGATTCAAGTCCCCTGACACGGCCAAAGAGTTCCACGATGCCTACACATTGGCCTGTCTGGAGGATAGCAAGGCAGCTGTAACCAAGGAAGTCACTGTCCCAGTCCCCGCAGTGCCCAAGGCAGCCCCAGCTGCAGCTGCAGCTGCAGTCAAAGATGTGACCAAGAGCTTTGTGACCAGCACACCAGCCACCAATTCATCGTTCGGCAAACCCTTCGAGCCGACAAACATGAAGCTCTCGGAATCGCTAGCCGCTCTGGCTGCTCCAGCCCCCGCCAACCCTATCTCGTCGACGGTAGTGGCCAAATCTCTGTTTGGAGGACAGCTGCCTGCAGATTTTGCTTCTACTGCTGTGGCATCGACTCCGACGGCAACCGCAGCAACGACAGTGCCGCCTTTTGCCAGCTTTAGCTTTGGCCAGAAGGGAGCAGGGCCAACGGCTTCGCCGTTCGGCAATCTGTCCTTTGGTAGCCTGTCGTTTGGCAGCGTCTCGGCCGTCAACAATAATGCAAACAGCAACAACAGCACGCTGTTTACCACGGCACTGATCAAGGACACCACCCTACAGGGAGAGCAGCAGCAGCAGCAGCAGCAGCAGCAGCAGGAGACCGAAGCCGATGCCGAAGCCGAGGATGAGTACGAGCCGACGGCACAGTTTGCCCCAGTGATCCCCTTGCCCGAACTGGTGAAGGAGATCACGGGAGAGGAGGACGAGGACGTGCTGTTCGAGCATCGGGCCAAGTTGTTGCGGTATTGCAAGGAAACGAGTGAGTGGAAGGAGCGCGGCCTGGGAGTCATGAAGATACTGCGCAACAAGCAGGATGCCAGCAAGGTGCGCCTCGTGATGCGTCGCGAGAAGGTGCACAAGACGTGCTGCAACCAGCGGCTGCTGCCAGAGACCACATTCAAGTATCTGGTCAAATCCACCACGGCCCTAACCTGGGCGGCCCAGGACTTTGCCGATCAGGAGCTGTCCGAAGCAACGCTGTGCATCCGATTCAAGAAACCCGAGACATGCAAGGAGTTCCTAGATGCGGTGCTAAAGGCACAAAAGGAAATTACATCCTCCTCCACCAGTAAGAAGGATCAGTTGGAAAAGAAGACTGTAGCAACAGCAACATCAGCAGCAGCAGCTCCCAGCAAAGGCTTTGGCGATGCCTTTAAGCCCAAGGCTGGCAGCTGGAGCTGCGAGGCCTGCTACACGAGCAATGGCCACGAGCAGCTGTATTGCCTGTCGTGCGAGGGTCCCAAAGATGCGACAGTGCCGCCCAAGCAGTCATCAGGCTTGGATCAATCGAATGCTCTCAATCTGACGACCAGCAGTGCGAGCAAGTTCTCATTTGGCTTTTCCCCCGCAACAGCAGCGGCAGCACCACAAGCACCAGCAGCTAACCTTTCTTCGGGCTTCAGTTTTGGAGCCAAGGCAACGGAGAAACCAGCAGCAGCAGCTGCTGCTCCAGTGGCAGCCTCATCATCAGCTCCTGCCAAATTGCCTGCCCCCGCATTGACGTCAGGATTTGGCGATGCATTCAAGCCCAAGGCTGGAAGCTGGTCCTGTGGAAGTTGCTATCTGAACAACACGGGAGATTCCCTCTACTGCAGTGCCTGTGAGGCGCCCAAGGATGACACAGTGCCCAAGAAGGAGAGCAACGCCCTAGGGTCGTCGGGTATCGTGTTGCCGGCAACCACAAAGTTTAATTTCGGCTTTGGAGCAGCTCCAGCTCCAGCTCCAGCTGCTGCAACACCAGCTGTACCGGATGGAGGAGTAGAGGCACCCAAGAGCGTCTTTGGATCTGCCAGCTTCAGTTTTGTGCCCAAAACGTCGGCGCCGGCAGCAAGTCCTGCGGCTACCCTGGGATCGGGCACCTTTAGCTTCACGATGCCAAAGCCCGCCCAGCAGCAGCCCAAGAATTCCGACGGGGGAGGCGATGATAACGCGGAGGACGATTACGAGCCGGAGGAGGAGGAGAACCAGGCGTATTTTGCGCCAGTAATCCCATTGCCGGATAAGGTAAGATAAGGCGATTAAGTGATGAATGTTTCCGACTAATACTAATCCAAATGTGTGCCTTTCAGGTCGATGTCAAGACTGGGGAGGAGGACGAGGAGGTGCTGTATGTGCAGCGGGCGAAGCTGTATCGCCTTACGGACGAGTGGCGGGAGCGTGGCGTGGGTAATGTGAAGATACTGCGCCACAAGCAGACGGCGAAGCTACGAGTGCTGATGCGACGCGAGTCGGTCTTCAAGGTGTGCCTCAACCACGCCCTCAACTCGAGTGTGGCCTACAAGCCCAAGGACGAGCGGTCCTGGCTGTTTGTCGTGAACGACTACAGCGAGGGCGAATCCGTCAACGAGCGGTTCACGTTACGCTTTAAGAACAAGGAGATTGCCGGTAACTTCTTGAAGGTCGTAAATAGCGCCTTGGATGGCACCGCCATGGCCATCGTTGAGGAGCAAAACACATCTGCGACTCCTTCAACTGGCGACAGCTCCTCCACATTGATTTCCCAGAAGTCCAAAGCCCTGGCCGATAAAATGCAACTGGACAGTGAATTCTTTACGGGATCGGACTGCACAGGCTGTGTGGGATGCGATCCAGACAAGTTTGTCTGGTCAAACCAGACCTCAACCACAACCACAACCGTTGTCGATGATGTGGACCCACCTCTGCCGATGCACTTGCCAGCCCTTAAGCTACCGCCTGCCGCAGAGCCCGCTGCTCAATCTCAGCCAGCAACTCCTCAGTTGGGAGACTCCATCTTTAGAGCCAGTTCCCTGGCGAGCGCCAACAGCGGCAGTTTTGGCGGCTTTGGCCAGGCAGTGTCTGCCAATTCCACGGCGGCTCCTGCTCATGTTGCGGCCAGCAAGCCAGAGGAGAAGAAATCAACGAATGCATTCGTTTTTGGCACCACAGCAACAGGTAAGTCTTGAAAACTATGTCCAGCACTACCTACAGATATGCATACGTGCAAATTTTCACAGAAAAACCAGTCTTCGGCCAGACTTCAAGCCTGTTTGGTGGCGCCAAACCTCAGCAGCAGTCGATCTTCAGCAACGCCCAGGGCAATGTTTTGGGTTCCATTTTTGGCAGCGGCGTTACAGAGCCCAAGGATCAGAGTGCCAAATCCATATTTGGAGGAGTCGGCGCCACTCCCGAGGCCCCGAAATCCATTTTCGGAGGAGCAGGCAAAGTGGAGCCTGTGGCGGCGGCGCCCAAGACTATTTTCGGAGGAACAAATACATCGGTGTTTGGCAGTGGATCGTCTGGCTATGTATTTGGTAGTGGTGTCGCCACGGCTGCTCCCGCTTTTGGCAAAAACGCCCAAAGCATCTCGTTTGGTGATCTGGGAAAGCAAGTCACACCCACAGCCCAAAATGCTGACAAAGAAACGGGAGAGAACACAGCTGATGCTGTGCCAAATACCACTTTCGCGGATCTGGCTGGTGCCGATGATTTTGCCAGCTTGTCCGCAAAGAGTCTGGGCACACCCATTGGCTTCAACAAGTCGTCCGGTAGCGGGGGCTTCTACAATCTCACGCACCAGAACGACTTTAAAAACTTCCAATCGCCGGCCCCGCTAAAGGGCGATGACCACAACACGTCGGGGGCGGATGGCGATGGGGACGCCACAAACGATGATAACTACGATCCCTACTATGAGCCAATAGTTAGTCTGCCCGATGAGATCGTTGTGAAGACGGGCGAGGAGGATGAGACTAAGCTGTTTGGCGAGCGTTCGCGGCTCTACCGCTTCGATACGCGTACAAAAGAATGGAAGGAGCGAGGTAGGTTTCGACACACTTGAACATACAACATTCTCGGATCAATAGTAAAATACTCCTCCTCTTTGTGCAGGAACGGGTGAGCTGAAGATCTTGGTGCATCCACAACTGCAGTCCTACCGCCTACTCATGCGTCAGGAGCAGGTGCCCAAGGTGTTGCTCAACATGAAGATCGGCGCCAGCTTGAAGATGAGCCATTTGAATGAACAGAAGAAGAGCTTTTCGTGGTGCGGCCTCAACTATGCCGCCGACGCGGAGGGCAAGACGACAACGGTGGGAGTTGTTGAGCAGTTGGCCTGCCGGTTCGGTAAGCAAGAAATAGCGGATCAGTTCTTGAAGATGGTCAACCAATGCATACAGCGTGCCAGCGAGGCAGCTGAGCACGATCAGGATCAGGAAACCTCCGAGACTGAGGATTAAACACTCACGTTATATAACAGAGTTTATAAGATAGTTATTTCGTAATATGTTAAATAAAATCATCATTTTCATTCATTAATGTAAGCAAATTTTGTTTGAGACATTCCACGTGCTCGTGATTTTTACTATAGCATTTTAGTTGGTATCCAAAATTTCGGGCTCGGTATTTGTTCTCTCTTCAGTCTTCTTTTTATGCGTTTTCGAACGAAAATGAGTTCTCAGGTTGGACATTCGATAGAAGGCCACATCGCAGATCTCGCAGCTATTGGAAATGGGATGCAATAACATGAGGATTAACTATATATTTGGGTGCCAGTAGAAGTTGGATTGCCTTACCGAAATGGACGATCGCCAGAGTGCACGACTTCGTGCTTCCTCAAGTTGCTCATGCTGTTGCACCTATGATTGCAAAAGTTGCAGGCATACGGCTTATCAGTTCTTTCTGTCTTGAGCCCCTCGTGAGTCCTGAATAGCAACAGAATCGTGAGGGTCTGTCTTTTTGGAAATTATTGAATGGATTACCTCTGATGGCGATAGCGTTTATTGCTGCACACAAAGCGTTCATCACAGTACTTGCAGGCGTACGGCGCCTCTCTTCTGTGCTTCACGCGGATGTGCATCTTCAACAGAAACTGGCTGTACTCCTTGTGGCTGCACTCCGGGCACTGAAACTTCCTTACACCCGTGTGGCGCACCAAATGCAGATTCAGATTTCCCTTGTCGTTAAAGTGCTTGCCGCATTGATCGCAAATATAGTTTTGATTAACCCGATTCTGGCGCTTTCTTCTCTTTCTCTCGGCCTCCATGGCGGCAGGGGGCTTCGCAATTACCTCAATTGACGGAACTGGTGCTGCAACTGGGGAATGCGCTGTGTCCACCGAGGGGCTGTCGCAAGAATTGTGTCGAGAGGAATGTTTACTGGGAATTTCCTTGTCTTGAGATCTGGTCGTAGCTTCGATTGTTATTCCAACCACGGGCTTGGCATCTGAAAGTTGATCTTCCTCTTCACGTTTTATATCATTCCCCAGGGGATCGTCTAGATCCCTTTTCAGGTCAACATCATCCGACGGAGCCACCTCGCTTCTGCCCAGCGTCAGCACATTGTGAGTCCTGATGCATCGCTCGCGGAACAGCATGGCGGTATTCAGATCCATTTGGCAGATCTGGCATATATTCCTGGGCATATCCAGCTGGTCAGTGATCTGCCAAAAGTAGAGGCTATAGGCAAAGCACGGCCAGAAAACAATCAGGAGAGACCCACTTACCCAGATGCCAGTCAGAAACGATATCTTCCTCACAATATCGTTGTCCCCTTCAAACAGATTTGTTGCATTTAGGCTGTACACTGTCTCGCCGCAGGTTCGACACCGCAGCGACATTTTGGGCGCCCAATTTACCCTCCAAGCAATAAAGTTTTATTCAATTTGTGTTTTTCAGATTTGTAAATATGCCCATTTTATGTGAATGCCTGTTGCATTGACCGCGTGGCATTGTGACTGGCAAGCGCGGGCGCCATAATTAAATAGGGAAAAGAGGATAAATACACAAAATTTAGCGCTATTTGCTCATGGCTTGTATATATGTGATGCTAATTATGTGAACATAGAAACATTAAATTTGTTTAGATGCCCATTAATGACCTGCCCGCTTACTATAATTGCGTTGTTTTTACGGCAAAGCAGAAGACTACCGAATTTGGCGCCAAAAAAAGTCGTAGATTGTTTTATTCATTAATAATAGATTCGGTGAAATCAAAATCAATTTCATTGTCTGTTTCTTCGTACTCGCAGGCATCATATATGCTCGCCCTAGTGCGATGGTACTTGGTCAAATAATGACCTCTCAGAAATATGGCCTCCTTGAACTCCTTGTCGCAAATTTCGCAGCTGCAAAAGAATAATTTTTAAGTCAGTTTTGATTAATTTCTATAGTTTTGTAAGTTAGAAACCCACTAATGTTTGCCGTTTCCTCCTCCTTTATGTAGCAATGCGTGCTTTGTCAGGCCCACTTTGCTCACAAATCGTTTGCTGCACAAATTGCACACGTATGGCAGATCGTTTGAATGGTACCTCCTGTGCGACCAGAAAAAGGATTATTGGAGTGGAAATAATCATATATGTATATAAGGGAGTGCTAACCGCTCATGCCGGCATCGACTGGGACTGTTGTTGAAGGCCATACCGCAGTATTTGCAGAGGAAAGGCTTCTCCCCCTTATGTTTGACGCGAACGTGCATTTTAAGCTGGCGAGAAGTGTAGAAGTACGAGCCGCATTCATCGCAAGCAAATTGTTTTTCCGAGTGTCGGAGTTTGTGATCTTTCATGTTACTCAGGTCGTTGAAGGCCCACCCGCATTGGTCACACACATATTTCTTCTCCGGACAAGGAATTCTTTTTCTTCTTTTCTTTTTTGGTGGGCCAGGTTTATCCCGCAAGTCTGCTTCTGCTTTTAATTCTGTAATAGTGTTCCTTGAGTGGCTTTGTGTTTCAGAATGTGGTGAAGTCGTGGTTGCTACTGGCATGCGGTAGCGCTTAACTACTACACGAGGGTAATCGCTTCTTGGATTCGGGACAATTTTCTTTACTTCTTTGGCATCCGATGCACATAACACTTGTGATTTCTTGTCCTCCGCCCCGGAGGGATCAGTGGGCAGCACATGTTCATCCAGTGGGTCCTGGGCGCCCCACTTCCTCTCGGCATCGCGTGCTCTTGCTGTCTTCATATACAGACGCCTCTGCGTTCTTAGGCAACGATCCCGGAAAACTACGGCCTGGTTCAGGTCCAGCAAACAGCAGGAACAAATATGCATTGGTAAATTTTCACTGAACATCAACTGCAAGTTTAAATTGAGTTTTTTTTTGGTTTTTAAAAGTAGCTCTCGTCTCGTGTCTTACCGCGAGGCCAGTGAGTTGCTTGATTCTCAGAAGTATTTCCGAGTTTTCCTTGTCGAAGATGTTCTTCGGATCGGAAATAAATATCTGCTCGCCACACACTCTGCATTCCCAATCCATTTTAGTAATTTTTTCAGTTTTTAGACTTTCCTTTTGCAAACAAATTGCTTTCCATGACCACTGTGTACACACAAAATTCGTTGAATAACAAAAAAGAAACAGCTGGGCGGCTTTCTTCTTATTCTCTGCTTGTTGATTTGCCATTCAACTGGAAGTTGAACAACTCTGAATACCAACAATTTGTTTCCAAATTATATGTGGACACACCATGCTAAAATCTTTAGTTAGTATCGATTCTGCGGAACAGCTGATAAGCAATTAAATAAATTAAATTCAAATATGGCCGGGATCAAAAAGGATCACCAAAAGGACACCAGTGCCGCCAGGCACAGTGGAGCGTGAGGCGCTGATTGTAAGTAATGAAATGTTTCAATGGAATGGGCCTTGACTTGTATTTTCGTTCCAGCAACGTGCCATCAAATGGAGCATTTCTTTGCAGGGACACTCGGTCTTGCACAAGCTCATTGGCTACCTTGAGTGTCTCGGGTAGCACGAGCGCGGCTCCTGCTATTCCGTCGCAGATCACGAGCCGGGCTCCCTCAAGTGCTGCTGCTAATCTCTTCGAGATAGAGACATTACAGATCGACGATGAGCAGAACCAATCGCGAAGGTAATGAGAAGGGATCGCAGAGCCCGCAGAAAGTCAGTAGATTTTTGGAATCCCAACGACAAACCCCCGATATTTTCGATTTGCAAAATGGCACCCGTGCTCACCGGGCACCACCGGGCCTTCATGCCCCTCGCGGCTTCATCCCGGGACAACTCGATCCCGCGCGCAAATGCTCCTACACGAGAGGTAAGTAGGTCCTACATTGGTTATCATCTTGTATAAAGTACTTCCCTTGCACACAGGATTCACATGGATGACAGCCAGCGTCCATTCCGCAGCGAATATTGCAGCAAGTCTATCGTGACCAGGGCAGACTGCAGGTCCCATCAAATACAACACACCTTGAGCCGCGAGCACAGGTAGCAGCCGAACTTCAATGCTTAAATGAAGGTTTATCAGTAATCCCATCTTTCAGCTGCCACATCTGCAGGTTAAGATTTAAGCTAAGGAAGCATTTTATGGCCCATCTGAAATCAGGGGCCCACAAAACCCTGGAAGCACGAGACAAAGGCCCACTTTCCGTTGAATCAGAGTATTTCCCAAGGAGCCTATAACGCCGCCTTCTGTTCCATGGGAAGGACATTTTGCGATCAGAAGAATGCGGTATCCAATGCCAAGATGTTGAAGGCCCTTGGTGATTCATCAGGCATATGATTTTATATATGTACATATACTACATATGTTATATGTATAACCAAAACGAGGGGGAACGTTGTGAGTTGCTGCGGACACCGCAACTCTACAGTTATACCCGATACTAAGTCAGTATGGCTTTCCTCCGGCAGACGCCGCTAATATTTAACGACACGACAAAGAGTGCGTGCGAGAGAGACAGAAAATCAGTCTGAGCGTGACGTCGGGCGCTGCGTAGCCACTGCAAATTGATTTGTTCCTTTTGGCTACAAAAATTATCTGATCTGATCCAGATTCAGCAATCTGATAGATATGATCATTATCTATGATTCTGCGTTTTTAGTTTTCTCGAATCTGCAATATTGTGGATGCAACAGATTTTCGTCCTTTGTGTGGGCGGAAGGGGGTGGGGCGAAATTTTGAGATACACGTTTTATAGTGAGATCTAAGAGAAGTGCGGATTCCAAATTTCGTTACTCTAGCGTTAATAGTCTTTGAGATTTGTGAATATCCCCAGATTTGCATCCTTTGCGGGGGCGGAAGGGGGTGTGGCGAAATTTTGAAACAAACTCGTCTCGGTCTGATATATTAGGAGTGTGGATACCAAATTTGGTTGCTCTAGCTTTTATAGTCTCTGAGATCTAGGCGCTAATGTTTTACTCTAAGCAAAGCCGCCTATGCTACCTGTGTGTTAGAGAGAGACAGGGCGAGAAAAAATGAAATTGTTTTCTTGATGCTGGCTATAATAGTAATACGATCCAATTCAGATTCTGCAGTCTAAAAGATATGGTCATTTTCTACGATTCTGCGTTTTTTGTTTTCTCGTATCTTTAAAATTGTGGATGCCACAGATTTTCGCCCTTTGTGGGGGCGGAAGTGGGCGGGGCAAAGTTTTGAAATATTTTTGTAGCAGTGACATATCACAGAAGTCTGGATCCAAAACATCGTTGCTCTAGCTCTTATAGTCTTTGAGCATTAGGCGCTGAAGGGGACGGACAGACGGACAGACGGACGGACGGACAGACAGACAGGGCTCAATCGACTCGGCTATTGATGCTGATCAAGAATATATATACTTTATAGGGTCGGAAACGATTCCTTCTGGACGTTACACACATCCACTTTTACCACAAATCTAATATACCCCAATACTCATTTTGAGTATCGGGTATAAAAAAAACTAAGCACTCGTGTGGAGATCTCGGCATTTCATCGCGGACTTTGCCCTTGTGAAAATTTTCCATGAAGTCAGCAGCGTACACGTGCCCGAAATGAGGGGCTTTTACTTTTGCATACATTCTAGTTTGTTTTGTTTATTTAATCATATTATATCATGCGAGAGGTAATCATAATTTTCTTTTGTCTGCCGTCTGAGGAGACTGTTCGACTGTTGTACAATTAAACAAACATTATCACAATCTTACGCAGGTATACAAGACATTTAGCTAGTTTAAATTTATCGGGGCAACGTGCACTAGCAGAGACTGGAGAGTACTGGCTAGTGCGAGCACCCGTCTCCCGATGGAGAGCGTCATCGTCAATCGGTGTAGGTCTTATGATGATGCAATAAATATATGTAGTTACAGTTCGCTTAGGTGTAGGATAAGGTGTTGGCCAACGAGTTTCCCAAAGTTGTTCGAAGGGGGTTTTCTTGGTTTTTTATGTGTTTTAAGTGGCCGCACAATCAGAAATGAGCTTTAGTTAGTCAGTGGCTTGGAACTAAAATGAGAAATCAAAATTGGGGGAAGGGTGAGTAACATAAAACGGTGGGTTGATGAGAAATAAGTATTCAGCGACACACTGCGAATTGTGTGTGGGGTTTGTGTGCCAGCGACTTATATACAAAAGACAACAACTATAACTACAGCTACGATTAACTAAGTGGGATGGCTGGCATTACTTTTCCTTGGGCTCCTTATCGAACAGGTACTCCTTGGCCATTGTGTATGCCAGTCCCGCTGTTAGACAGCCCACGACGGTACCCTGGGCCGCCACACGGAGCTGCATCAGGAACACGCTGGTGCTCATAGTCCCACGGTGCTTGTACTTGTAGGCACCAATCAGTCCTGCCGCCACGAATCCAGCAATGCCTGTGGGCGAGTGATTAAAACGGTGTTTTCGATTAACTTTTGTTTCATTGCATTGTTGTTGCTACCCGCTGTCCACTACCCACTAGAGTCTAGCGACTAGACGTTAGCGTCTGCTGATAAATGCCAGACGGCTGTGCACACACACACACATACGCAGATGTGAATTCTAGCACGCGCCAAGGTTCACGATGGCAACGTCACGGATGTGCTAATACCATTTCCCGTTGTCTCTTTCTGCTGTATTCCCGAAATTACTGCACAACTAATAATTGTTGCATCATGCCCTTTCCAGACGGACCGCGGTAAATTAACCGTTATGTCACTACCTATCGTTGGATCTGCCCACTGCTGCTGCTGCGGCTGCTAACCTCAACGCACAAATTACATGGCCAAGGTCAAGACTCATCTATCTTCGGTGCACGCATTATATTTTTATCAGTTTGCAGCAAAAGTTTCCACCTGACGTCACGGATGACGATACCGTGCGCTCGGTTTACTCACCGACTAGCATAAACGGCGATTCCTTGGCCTTCCTGGCTAGTTTGTTGGATTGTTCAGCATCGTCCTCAACAAAAAAGGATTTGGAGCTCATTTTGAACGCAGGTATTTATTCAGGTTTTTAATCAAACACAAAATTCGAAGGGATATAGATTCGTCTGGCCAGTGATGACAATCACACCTAATCACACCTTTGCTTTCGATTATTTAGGGTTGCATTTGAAAATCATCCGCTAATTATAGCCGAAAAACTCTGTTTGTGGCTACAAATTGTGGCTCGAAAAAATTAACTGATTTACTATTGAAAACGGCTTTTTATACAGCAAAACGAATCTTAATTGCAAAAGGAAAAAAATAGACGACTTGTTGATGCATTATCACATAATATACACGGTTAACAGGGCATTTTAGATTTGTCCTTTTTATAAACAATTCAGATCTAGCTTTTTTTCAAAGTCGAAGACAATTTTCTCGACGCTGGGAATAGCGTTGTCAGCGAACTACAACCCGGTAAATAGTTTTAGCATATGTAATATTACATTTATTTAATTTAGTTGTTATAATTAACGCAACTCTTTAGGTTTAAGAAATTTCTGTTAAATACAGCTGTTTTTTTTAGCTTTATTTTATTAAAACTTATTGGCAACACTGGCTCCACATGACATAAGAAGCACTGGTACGGGACTGTCGAAGGGATCTGGCTATCAACGTTGCTTTGCCGTTAACCGCAGTTTCATTCAAGATTTTCTCGAAAAATTGACAAGTGTCCTCCACACACTCACATTTTCCCAGTAGAGACGAAGCGACGTCGCAGCGATGACGGGTATCATTTCCATAATAACGAGGCGGCTGCCAAACAGTGTCCAAACCATTGGCCTGCGCGCCGTGCGGAGTTCTGAAGTAAGTGTAGAGGGTGGCCGGGGGAGTTGCTGGCGATTCCTGACGGGGGGGCGTGGCTCCTGGTAGATGTGTATATGGAGACCGCATCATACTCGCCACCGCCGACGTCACTGCTGCCTGCTGGCCGGGCTAGTCAGCTCTCCCAATGCGATTATGTAATTGTGTGTGTGTGTGCGTGCGCCGCTGAAAAAATGGTAAAATGTTTGCCCAGCACGGCTGACACGGGCCCTGGCCCACAGCTGACACAAGCCGCACGGCACACGTGATCTGACTGACGTTCGCCGCAGTTGCTCCTGGTTGTGCAATCATTGATTTTTACTTTTCCTCCACAGCTGAAGCGCTGCCTGCGACAGTATTCCCGTCTTGTTGCCGTGTCTGTGGCCAGGCAGCAGCAACTCCTCAACCAAGATGCCAATCTACGCTGCCAGGAAGTCCCGCGGTGAGTGCAATCGCCGATACTCAATCCCGGAATGCGATGCTAACTGAAACTCATTTCATCACTGTCTAGGGCCATTACATGGCAGGGCTTCCACACCACCTCGCACCTGTGGCAAGAGCAGTCGGTGAAAGTGCCACCATTTGCCGACTCGATCGCCGAGGGCGACATCAAGTAAGTTGCTAGCAGGCTGTGTGCTAGGTCATTGACGTGGATCGAGCAACAGGTTACTTAGTCAGAGACCCACAGCTAAGCAGCTGGCCAGGGGACCTGTTGTTATGCCGCTGATGATAGCGTATCGCAAGATTAGCACTGCCAATGCCAACACAAGTTCTCACTCGCCACAGGTTCACATGCAAGGTGGGCGACTCTTTTGCCCAGGACGAGGCGGTTATGGAGATCGAAACCGACAAGACGACGGTGCCAGTGCCAGCTCCGTTTGCCGGCCAAATCACCGACATTCTGGTCAAGGACGGGGACACCGTCAAGCCTGGCCAGGAGCTGTTCAAGATGAAGCCGGGTGCGGCTCCTGCTAAGGCGGCGGGTGCAGCCGCACCAGCTCCCGCTCCAGCTGCCCCCAAGCCAGCTCCTGCTGCCGCCGCTCCTAAACCAGCTGCGCCAGCACCAGCTGCTGCCCGGCCGCCACCACCGCCACCAGCGGCTGCTCGTCCGCCACCACCACCACCAGCGGCTCGTCCGCCACCGGCTGCTCCTCGAGCTGCCGCTCCTCCGCCAGCTGCCCTCGCTCAGGTAAAGCTGCCGCCTGCAGATGGCACCCGCCAGATCCTAGGTACCCGCTCCGAGCAGCGCGTCAAGATGAACCGCATGCGCCAGAAGATTGCGGCTCGCTTGAAGGACGCCCAGAACACCACAGCAATGTTGACCACCTTCAACGAGATCGACATGAGGTAATGTACAACCGAAAGAGATGCTTGTGACGTGCCCGAATTAATTCTCTCCATTGCAGCTACGCCATGAACTTCCGGAAACAAAACCTGGACGCATTCGTCAAGAAGTATGGCATCAAGCTGGGCTTCATGTCCATCTTCTCCAAGGCCAGTGCCTATGCGCTCCAGGACCAGCCCGTGGTGAACGCTGTCATCGATGGCACGGTAAACACGCCCATGTCCACGCACACGCCCCTCGCTGCTTGCTTATCGGCCGTGACGTAGCCTTATCTCGGCCAACTTGTCACTTGTTTGTATGCTTTGTTTATGCAACTTCCCGTGGCACCGATAAGGAGACGACGTCAGGCCTGATGTAGCGCAATGTTTTCCCTTTCAATTGAATAATCCCTCTGCTCTGTGTTTCAGGACATGGTTTACCGCGATTATGTGGACATCTCGGTGGCCGTGGCCACACCCCGTGGACTGATGGTTCCCGTCATCCGGAATGTGGAGAGCATGAACTATGCCGACATTGAGATTACATTGGCCGGTCTGGCCGACAAGGCCAAGCGCGACGCCATCACCGTAGAGGACATGGACGGCGGCACCTTTACCATCAGCAATGGAGGAGTTTTCGGCTCCCTGATGGGCACGCCCATCATCAATCCACCTCAGAGTGCTATTCTCGGCATGCACGGCATCTTCGAGCGTCCCATCGCCGTCAAGGGAGAGGTAAGATTTGCATTTCCACTACTGATTGCCGATGGATTGCTAATGCATTTCAAAATCAGGTCAAAATTCGTCCCATGATGTATGTGGCGCTGACCTACGATCACCGGATCATCGATGGACGCGAGGCCGTTCTGTTCCTGCGCAAGATCAAGGCTGCCGTGGAGAATCCTGCAATCATCGTCGCCGGCTTGTAGAGAGAGAGAGAGAGTAGAGTGCAATATTGTCAAGTGCGTCCACGCTTATCCGTTGATATTAGTCGTCTCCGCAATACGAAGCTCCCTTTCGGTTATTTATTATCTTATTTTCGCCAAGGTCACAAAACGATTTCAAATTGCATTCGATATGCACCATCAGAATTAGTCGAAATAAAAAATGGAAAAAGTGGATTTGTTTTCTAAACACGCTGTTTGCCTATCCCTACACTCTTGCACTCGCACTTTGTTCCCAAACATTTGATGTTTATCCAAGATGCTGAAATGCAATAATGTAATAAAAAGCGATCACGAATATCGACCAACCTCAACAAAACAAACAATCTTTTGATTCGAAGATGATCCTTAACTTGATCTTTAACTTGGGTAGTGACTGGGGAAGGACTGTGACTCTGTTGTGGAATATGTTCTTTGGTTTATAATGTACTGTGAATACTGAGATTATAGAGCCCAGATGGTCCATGTGAGTCAAATAATACAAAACTTTGATTTGCTGTAGAAGAAAATTGGTGACAGCGCACCACGGTCGGTTGGACGGGAGGAGGGCTACGTTCCTGCCTAGGATCACGCGCAAGAGCCTTCTGCTGGTGTCGCATGATGGTGCAGTCATTGCATATCAAGGTCCAAACACCGTAGGAGTTAGTTAAAGAAAGCTCAATAGTATCTTTGGGAGAGAGTAGACTTGAGGCTGCCACCACGATGAAAGCCCCTTTAAGCCATGGAAAATATTGGTTTTTAATGATACAAGCATTGCCGATTATGTATGTAAGTATTTGTTATATAATTTTTGATAAAGGCATCCAATAAATGCAGCTACATGTATACATGTATTCCGGAATTCCAAACTAATTCTTTCCCATTGGGTTGGAATTCTTTGCATTGTTCTGTTGACCAGTGTTTCGCAAAGTTGATCCTCACATGGTATTCCGCTAATTGATTGCAGTAATAAATAGATATGAAATCAACATTATAACATTATAAAAATTATACCTCTAAAATTTCTTTATTTGATAAGAGGAGGACCTATTCCGAAAGCTGTAGACCATCGAATGCCACTTTCATCCATGATGGAATCCTTAAAGAATGAATCTGTGTTCCTAAAAAGTGTGTAAGAAAAGAAAAAAAAACTCTGAAACGAGGAGGACCTATTCCTAAACCTGTAGACCATTGGATGTCCCTTCCATCCATGATGGAATCCTTAAGGAACGAATCTGTGTGTTCCTAAAAAGTGTGTAAGAAAAGAAAAAAAAACTCTGATACGAGGAGGACCTATTCCTAAACCTGTAGATCATCGGATGTCCCTTCCATCCATGATGGAATCCTGAAAGAATGAATCTGTGTGTTCCTAAAAAGTGTGCAAAAAAAGAAAGAAAAACTCTGAAACGAGGATGACCTATTCCGAAACCTGTAGACCATCGGATGTCCCTTCCATCCTTGATGCAATCCTTAAGAATCGAATCTGTGTGTTCCTAAAAAGTGTGCAAAAAAAGAAAGAAAAACTCTGTTTTTTTTGTTGGTTTTGTTTTGTTATTTGAGCAAATTGGCTTGTACAATTTTATTGATTTTTGTTTTTGTTTGTAGTATTTTTCACTAATTTTAAGAGTATTTCTAATGGTTACAATGTTGAGTGTTTTGTTTCGTGTTTGATTTCAAATAATATTTCATACAAAGTAATTAATTTTCTTTTGTTTTTTGAGGAGTGTGTGTTGGGGTCACATAAATTATTCGAATGATACAATTTACTTAAAGAGAAACAATATATGGTATATGCAGTTTTGTCATAGATCTTTCAAAGATGGGGATTAACACAGTTTTTGATTTTGGTTTGACTTTGCTTTTGCTTTTGTTTTGTTATAGTGTCTTCTAGATGCTTTTGCTTATCACAATTTATGGGGGGTGTCGAAAGAACTGAAATCGTATCTGAATCGGAATCTCTACGAAGATAATGATAGTAGGGAGAATATCGAAATAAATAATATATATAAAATAGGTCACTATACGTGAGTGTGTGTGCTTGCGTGCGATTTGGGTGTGTGTTTGTGTGCATGAATGTTTACATAAAAATCATATAAAAAATGCAACAATCGTTTCGTCTAAAACAAGAATTGACATTTTAGGCAAAAGGATTGGCATTATCTACATTTAGTTTTTGTTTTTTTTTGTTTTTTGGGGCCCTTTTCGATGCTTAATTTTTTAGCTTAACTAAGGGGATACAGAGTGTAGTTACATTTGTACGATTCACGCTTAATTATTTAGATATCTGATTGGTGATTTCTGCTTTTTTTTTGGGGTCTAGATAGGCCTAGCTTCGTGCGTTACTGAATCAAATTTCTGATCATTTTTTTGTTTCAGCTGACCAAAGGGTATACATTTTGGGGGGGAGGAGTGTGGGGGTCTGTGGTGGGTCATGGGTCAGTCAGTCCTGCACTTGGGTTCCTTGCAAGTGCAGCACTCTTAGGACTAAGCAATTACACTAGGTATCCCCACCTTGTGTCCGAAATGTGTTCTTCCTTTTTTTTTTTTTTCTATCTCTCTGTTTGTGCACTGTATCTATCTCTATCTCTCTTTTTGTCTCTCTCTCTAATTATTCTCTATGTATATCTCCTCTAACTGTCTCTCTCTATCTTTCTAAGATCTCGTATAGATCGTGGGTCGGAAATGGGGGGGTTTTATATGCCTTTCAATAGAACTATTGTACAAGATTCCATTTGCTACTCTTCGTGGTTGCTACTCGCGTCTGCTGCGCGTCTCAATGATGTTGCAAATTTCCAAATTGCCCGAAACGTGCATTTTCCTAGCCAAAAAAATTTGGAAGATTTGCTTCCGATTTTCCTGTTCCCCTGCTGCTGGTTTTCTAGGTTTTCTGGTCTCCGGATGATGATGGTTTCATAACTAAATTTCTGGGCTGGATTGTCGCCGTGTTGTGTCTGAAGGGGGTCGGGAGGCGGGAGGGGTCTGCTGCTTCTAAATGTTCGGTTTTGGCCTCGGCTTGGATGTTGTTTTAGTTGGTGTTTTTGCTGCTGCTGTTAGTACAAGTCGGAAATGTGTAATTTCATAAGACGGTTTTTGCATTTTCTTGTTGCTTTGCTGCCAAGTCTCTAGGTGGTGTTGTTGCTGGTGGTGTGTGTCGTCATCGTGTGGCGATTGACTGGGGTGGTGTGGTGCGGTGTGGTGTGGGGCGGGTTCTGGTGGGGTGGTGGCGTTGGCTGCCGCTTGGCCTGGCAACTTTCGCCATGAATTTATAAATCAAAATGCTCTGCTCTGCCTTGCTGCTGTCTAGTGGCCATTGAGTGCTGATGCTGCTGTAGTTGGGGCTGTATACTATACTGTATCTGGGAAAGGGATTGTCAGGATTGGTGTCTCTCTTCAGGGTCTGCTCTTGGGCTGGTGCTGGTACTGGTGCTCCCCTGCCCCAGCCATATTTTATTTATTGATGGCAATTATGCCTCGACCTCGACTATTGCCAGTAGTTTATATAAATTTGGAGTTTTGTTTGATGTGCTTTCAACTGCATGATGCTCTGATGCTGATGCTGCTGGTGGAGTTCTGAATGTATAGACGATGATGGTTCGAACTTTTGCCAAAGAAACCTCTCGCCTGACCACAATTTGAAAGGTCTGAACGGTAGCTGGGGCTGTGTCTGGAGTTTGAGGGAGGAGGAGGGAGGCGGGTTTTTGCGTGTGACACTCGTCTCGAAAATATTACTTAAAGTTCTGCTGGGTGCTGGCTGATGCCTTCATTTTGTTTGCGTTTCTGATTCTGATTTTGATTTCGAATTGAATTTGGGTTAAGTTGTAGTTCTCATAGTTTTCATAGTATTCATCTTTGTATTTATTTTGTGTGGCGGCCTTCGAGCGAAAGTAATGCTCTTGAAGCCTCTCTCCAGGGAGGCCATCAAAGTGGTCCATCTTGGGCCTTCTGTGGCGGTGTGTGCTTGTGCTTTGGGTTTTATAGTTTATGAATTTTGTTTATGCCTTCAACCCCTTCATTTTCTGCTTCTTGTTCTATGCAAAAAGTTCTTTGAAATCGCGTGTTCTTTGTCTCTGGGTCTGGATTTTGCTACTGATTCGGATTCGGATACCGATTCTGGTTCTGGTTTGTTTTTGTGCGGAGAGAGCTGGGAATTGTTTTGTTTCGCTGTGATTTATCTGCCGCCCTGCCTCTCGACTCGACTCGCCCTCGGCCGCCATTTGTAAGATTTTGGGCCAGAAAAGTTGCCAGCATTTTGTGGCGGCCTCGGCCTCGGCCTCCCTGGGTGTCCTCCCCGTCGCTCGCGTCTTCTGCCTGCCACAGCGCGCGGGCTCCTTTTTGCTCCTGACATTTGTCGCATTAAAACTTCCGCAATTTCTTGTAATTTATAATCCTGTCTTGTTGGAATTTTGCTGGAATTTCTTTCTTTCTTCTTTTTTTTCGGTTTTCGTTTTCGTTTTTGGTTTTGTTTTTGTTTCAGAACTGTCCGCGGTAGTACTTAATCATCATAATGTGGCCATAATTATGCACCGAAGGATTCTTCGTGAATTTCGGGACTTTTGTTTTCTTTTGTGGCAATTTTTGTATATTTTTTTGGCAATTTTGAATTTGATTTCGTTGTTGTTTTTGGCTGGTTTCGGTTTCGGTTTTGGTTTTGAATTTCATTTGGTTTTGTTTTGGTTTTCTTTTGGTTCAGCCATCAGCATCGATGTGTAATATTTTTCTTTTGTTCTTTCGGCTTTTCTTTTTGGGTATTTTTGTGGATTTAGATGATTTCTTTTGAGTTCTTTAAGGTTATTTTGAGCTAAAAATCGGTTTACCTGTTGTTCTAGGGTTTTTTTTTTTTTTTTTTTTGTAGAAAGCATTAAATTTAAGCTGGATTTTTTTTAAATTTGTGGCCGGTCAGTGGTGGAATTTTGTTGGAATTTCGTTGGAATTTTGATGTGTGGTTTTTCAGATTTTGATGATTGCCAGAGAGAGCCGAAAGTTGTAAATTTGAATTTTGGATTTCTAGGTTTTCAGTTTCTAAAATAAAATAATTTAGATAAAGAAATGTTAATACGAATGTCGAGACAATTGAACTTCTTCGGGCTTCTTCTAAAAAATATTTTGAATTTTGATATTTTCTTTTAGACTTGGATATTTTCTTTTTTGAATTTGGATATTTCTTTTCTTTTAAAAACTATTTTTAAACCTTTTACTCTTCGGAATTTGGATATTTATTTTCTTTTAAATACTATCTTTCAATATTTTACTTTATGAAAATTGGATATTTTGGATTTTTCCTGCTTCTAAATACTATTTTTGAATTTTGTACTCTTCGGAACTA